TATTATTATTATTATTATTATTATTATTATTATTATTATTATTATTATTATTATTATTATTATTACCAACCTTATTGAAGAAATCAAGAAATCAAACTAGCAAAAGGCATTATTAAGAATATGAATATGAGAAACGAACAAAGATTCGAAGATTTGAGAGCGAATTCTTGAGACGATGTGCCTCATCACAAATCATCAACGTAAATGTACATCGCTCTAATACCTCTCGACAACGCAATGCCATTTCGTAGCTTAATAACAGCACTGGACTATGCGTTGAATAGATCGAAAATTTACGTATATCATCCGCTTTTGTCACAGCAGAAACCTGACATAATTTTCTTATTATTATCCTTGTGATAATAGTAATTAGTAATAATAATAACAATAATAATAAATCATAATACCAGTGACGATGCGGAATGTGGTAACCATTTGTTGAACTCGAAACGCCAATTATCAACTAACGATGTGGGTGTGATTAAAAGAAATTTTAAACTGCTATTATCTTGGCTATTATTTGCCGCCGGAAGTAACTTATTTTTGTGGTTCCTTCTAGTTTTGAACTGCTTCAATAAGATCCATATTATGGCAATCGTTTGCACACTCTTACCCAAACCCATTTCGTCGGCCAATATCACACCGCTGTTCGGCTTCTAAACAAACGAATAAATAAATAAATAAATAAATAACAAACAAATAAATAAACAAGCAAACCAATGAAGAAACGAACGAATAAACAAACAAATAAATGAATTCAAAAAAGTCAAATTTAAAACCTTACTACGAGTTGTTTATAAAGGAATGTAATACCGTCCTTCTGATGTGGTCTCAAATAGCGTGCTATGTGACTATCTAAGATAATATCTTCTCCATCGTCTACGTCACATTTTGCATCCTCAAAAAATAATGGTATAATAATAACAGCATCAATAACATTAACAGCAAAAAAAAACAAAAGTAAAATAAAAGAAAACAAACAAAGCAAAACAAACAAAAATAAATACAAAACAAAAATAAAAACAAAACAAACTTTATTTACAATGAACACCTCAGCTGTTCGATTGCATTCCTCTGATAATCTATTTAGAAGTGGTTGAACAAACTTATTTCTCAATACTGAACTATTACCTACTGTCGCTTGAGATGATGACGTTAGGCTGGATGTTTTTTGAGAAGCATGCGATTGAAATGTTTGCTTCGCTGAAACCAATTTAAATTCATCAACTTTTTAAAAATACTATTATTATTAATAATATTGCATTACTGTTATTATAATATTAGATACAGGAATCATATTAGTATATCATTGACATTACATGTATCTGATCAAAATGTAACAAGTAGTACCCAGAGTAAAACAAACCAGATGAAGTGGGACTTTGCTTGTCTGAGTCATCATCAAAAACCTCTTGTATTTCCAATTCAAAACCACTTATGACCAGTCGACTTCCGCTTTTTAAACTCTCCAACTGTTTCTTCGAAAATGCGCTCACATGTGCCACTGTTTTACCATCCTTCAGACATTCCAAAGTGATTTACTAACATTACTCTTACTGTTATTATTCTCTCAATAAGTTCATTAACGTTTACAATTAGCTCTGTTCAAATGCTAACAAAAATGTGTTTCGTTCAAAATTCCTTACCTTCTTTGTTAGATTCATCGATTTTGCTTTAATATGTTTAGATCTTAAGGGTAACCTATTCATATGATCGCATGTTAAACTATAAAGTGTTGTTCAATTTATAAAACTTGATATGTGCGTATGCAAAACAACATAAAAATCAAAATAACCAACAAAATGGCTCACCTCATCTTGAAGCAGCGCAAAACGTTGCTTGCATATAAGCATCCCGTCATTTTCCCATCGCTTATGAACGCGTGTCGATACCCTTCCGTACACTACCGAGTAACGCCGACAGCTTTCATCACCTTCAAACAACCACCTTTCATTACTGCTATAACTATGCATTAACAACAAATAATAAAAGAATCGAAGCAATAATTCAATGAACGAACACACAAATGAACCAAACCCTCAACGAGGCACGCTCCAACATCCGATCTACCCACAACACAATGCTCTGGTATGGATGCATTCGAATAACGCGGCTCTTCCTCAAAAGATCGCACCACCGCCGTGTTGTTCACCGATAGTCTCGGACGTTTCACGCCCTCATTGACTCTGACCCCGTCCGCGTCCCCTCTTTGTTCACCATTCGAGTCTTCTTTCGGCGTCAAACCCACTGATGCTAAACTATCACCGCGGCCACTCGCCATATTCTGAGTAGATGAAAAACATCTTCCGGATGTCGTCAACCTCATCACTGAACTCTTACGCATTACCACGATCTCTCTCCACCTAAACCATTATTTTATCAACGTTAATAAAACTCTAATCGTTTCAATGATTCATAAATGCGTACATAATATTACAACTAACGAAATAAATAAATATTTTACATAACAATACAAACAATAACGAGCCAGCGAAGAGCAAAGTCGGCAACCGTCTGCCAAACAAAACTACCTCCGTGTCACTTGCAAATCCAATTGAAAAAATAAACATTCAAGCAAATAAACTTATCGTTCACAGCTATCATTTAGTTCAAATATCAAATGGCCTTAATAACAAAACCATTCATAACAAAATAAAAATTTCTTCACTTCACACATTATCGCTTTCGCGAAAATCAATTTATTTAGCTCATAACATGAAAACAATACCCACACCCACACCCACATTCATCATTATCATAACAATCACAATAAACACTCCAGTAAAATCAATCTTTTCACACAAACATGCGTATGTTAATCAATTCACGACAAAATTAGTGAGTAAACAAGCTGATAATTAGTTAGATGAGACATGCCAAAAAGTCCAATCGTCCAAATCAACTGTCATTTCACTTCACCAACCATTCGGCTGCCCTGATTCCCGTCCACGCTATGCATTTCGCACCACTTCTTCAGTGCTCTCTTCCCGTTGCTCATTATTATTAGCTGTATCATTCGACAATAAGTCCTCACTATCTGAATGTATCAATGCATAACCATGTCTTTGTCTCACCGAAAAGCACTCCTTCCACAGTAACGGCAACAAACACACGAACGTGCACATCATCTGTAACAAATTCCATTTCTTGCTCACATATCAACAATTATGTAAAAAAATAAATGAACAAAACAAATAAATAACCAAAAAACCAACCATAAAAATGAATGAATAAAAAACATAAATCCATCCAAAACGTCGCTCAACAATCGGCAATAATAACTGCCCAATACTCGCCCCAATACTACCCGTACCATCGATTATGCCTGTCACTGTACTTAACGCTTCTGATGAACCTCGTACTTCATCACAACGGCCTGAAATTATTATTTTTTATTACAGGAATAATAATAATAATAATAATAATAATAATAATAAATAATAAATAATGAAAGAGAAACAACAACGAGTAGTTATAAATACAAATAAGCGCAGTAACAATTATAATATCAATGGTCCGCCGAACCAATCATAACGAACCAATATCAGCCGAAACAGTAGATGAGATCAGATTCGCTGGTCCACCAATGAAGAATCCCATTAAGATCATTAATAGTGAATTGATGAGTATGTTATTTGGGGAGTCTATAAGTTGAGAATAAATAAGTGAAGAATAAAATTAATAAACAACTTCACATTGAGACCACTTTCAATTCAAAAAACAGTGATAATAATAATAATAATAAGTCTAACTTGCATACGCAAATACGGCCCCCATCGAAACGAACAACATTGTGACAACGATTGGTGTTCGTGACGATAAATGATCCTAAAACAGTTCAATCTAGAGTCAATCCGTTATCTCATCCCTCATTTATCCAAACAAAAACTGAATTCAATCAAACACTCAATCAAGTTTTCGAAGTGTAAACCAAACATTTTCTATAGTAACATATAATAACAACAATAACGATAACAATAATAACATCAACAAAAATATAGTAGCAATGATATTAGTAAAAACATCCTCACAAACAGGTGTAAGATAAGAGGTCAGTTGGAAAGTTGCGAGATTCGCATAACTTCTAAACTTTGTTAACATTTCTAAACGCTACCCTCGTATATGACTGATAAACGTTATTGAGTTCCATATGAACTACCTACTCAATATTCATTAATGCAACATTTTTGACATCAATTAGAATAAAGGTGAGATTGAGTGCCACCGAATGGCCATCGATTTTTTTCTAACGATAAGCTTGTAAAATTGAGCCGTATTCGATCGTTGATCAGTATTTAGAAGAGAAAAATCAAAATATAAATCAAAGAACTCAGAAGCACAAATTGGCATGAATCTGAGTTCGTACAACACGTAACAATGCTGAATACATCAATAAAAAGCTATCGGGCTCGGCTGTCTGCAACGATTTCAATCTTAAAATACTCTCACTGGCTGGGCAATAAAAAGCAAAAAAAAAATCACCGATAAAATTCCAGCAATAATTGCAGCTACAATCCCACCCCAATCATACCAAGTTGACAGCTCATCAGCCAACGATTCAGGCCATCCAAAACGATTATGCAAATAGAACGGTAACCAGAAGAAGAACGAATAATTCACCAATTTTAAGCAAGCATACGCTAGTGAATACTGAAAATGTTTTTCATTGTTCAATCGTCGTTACTTTTGTCATTCTTATGAGAACAACTCTTTTGAATGAATCAGAAATGAATACTAATAAATCAAATTCACCGAAATTACGCCCGGAAGAAGCCATGCCCGCCAAAAGCTGATCGCTTTCGGACGTTCTGTTACCTCCTCAATCACCCGATTCACATCTTCACGCGTTTCCAACGGATCCGGTAACCCTTCAAATTGATAATCATTATAATAGGAATGTTTACATTAATAAAAATAATAATAACAATACATGTAACAATAACCCAATAATAATTATAATGACGCTAAAAATAACTATTTTTTGAAAAATTCAAAGACTGAACAAATTTTGAAAATAATCTATGCACATAAATAAACAATCGTTTCTGAACACTCAACTCACCAACATTCCTCGGGGCTGAATAGAGGAAAATTTTCACAAAAACACCACCAATAATTAATAGAAATGCATTAATTGCGAATGCGTACTGAAATTTTAAATCGTTATTTTATAAAACCAACAATAGTAATAATAACAACAACAGATGAATATAATAACGAAATTGATAATAACAGCAATCAAGAAAGCGATATCAATCATGAGAGTACGATTAATGATAATAACCTCGTAACCGATCTGCACCGTTTGTGAAGCAATCAAAGTCCCCAAAATATTTCCAATGGATGCACACGCTGACCACACACCAAATACAGTCCCTCGACTGTTGTGACCAAACCAATTACCCATTATACAAATCTCAATTATTATTATCATCATTCATCAAACCACTCGAAACAAATAATTAATTCTCACCTCAGTTGGCCATCCAATCGACTGAACTAAACCGCTTGCAATCCAAACTACTACATAAAAAATTTTCGAATAAAATTGCAGCCATCCTGTGAATGAACCGAATAAAAACACCTGAATAATAATAACAATAATCTTAAACAATAATAATAAATAAAGTAATAATAATAACAATAGTAATAGTAGTAACAATAATAATATTTTATTATTATTATGCAATAATAATAACGATAATAATAAGTTCATTCAAAAAATTCACTCACAGTAATGGAAGAAAGCCACATGCCAATCGCAAGTACGTTTGATGCATTATAGCGATCGCCCAATAAACCACTTATGTACAGTCCCTTCAAGACTGCTGTTATTACTCATAACAAAATTGTAACAAACAGTAAACCAAAAATAACGGCAATAATGATAATCACACTCATTACAAAACAACAATGAACAAAACCTACTAGAGCGTAAGCAGCTAAGAAAGCAAAATCCAAAACGGCTAAGAACTGCTCAGCAGAAGCTGCATCAGGGAACAGGGCTGACACAGTCAGATTAGAATCAACTCCACTGCCATTGCCTGTCCACACATCTACCAATGATGTCTTTACTGCACTCAATGTTTTCCTTGAAGCATGCAATAGCGCATAACTGAAAAACAATAACACTTCGCTCATCATAAAAATATTCAGTATTATTATTATTATTATTATTATTATTATTATTATTGTAAAGAGCGAAACACCTCAAGAATGTCAATGCGAAAACGACGAAGTGATGATGAGTCCAATACTCGCCACCACTAAGAAAAACGATAAGACGATTCGATAGGGTTTGTCGACCGCGAACGCGCTCCCGATTAGTTCTTCGAGCTCCAACCGAAGACACCCGTTGTCCGGGCATCTCCCCCTCTTCGGTAATCTACAGACACGAACGATTAAAATTTCAAAGCGACTGTAAAAGATTAGACGGAAAGTATTACATCATAAAACAAAATTTGAAAATCTATTCAATTTGTTCAATTGCAAAAAATATTTCGCAATGGTAAGCAGATAACAACTTTAACAGAAACAATAAATTCAAACAGAATTCATCGCAAAGCGATTGAATCAAACCAATAAAACCAATTTATTGAAACGATAGCAATATTGATAATAAAAATACTAAAAACAAAATAAAAATTACTAACCAATTTGTTCCCACCTACTGCCTGTTGTAAACGATTTAGCAATGTTCCACAGACTTACTCATCAATGAAAATTATAGCCTGCAATAAACTTTCATAAAAGAACAACAGTAACTGCTATTGTTATCGTACGGCTGCACGATTCAATGAGACAATAACCGTCAGAAGACACGATTCGCATTCGGCAAGACAACTGCTGAATCGGTGCATAATGTGATAAATGTTTTGCTTCAATTTCAAAAATGAAAGATACATTCGATTACAGAAAGCAGCAGACGCGATTAACTGCCCCAGAGAACAATCAAAAATTTTGTAACACATCGCATCAATTGTTTATTCAACTGAGTTTACTTCAATAAATAACAATATTTAGAATGATAATGACAACAATCAGTTAAGTATTAAATAAGTCGAATAAACACGAATTATTAATTAAAGCGTCTATATTATCATTATTAAGAATATATTATGCACCACACTTATCCCGCTCTTCGAAATACACAAAATAATACGTAAAGTTAATCATATGAAAACGAAGAGAATAAGCATTTTAATAGACACGTATCACATCAGAAGTTACAATGCAGTTTTTAAAGAACAAACCCGAAATTAAACAACAATAAGTAGCGACAAGAATCATCAGGAGCGATCCACAGCGAAAATGATAACAATAATAAAATATTAATAACAATAATAATTGTAATATCTAGGATAATAATAATAATAATCATAGCAAAGATAGTAACAAAAAACGAAACAATATGAACAAATTGAACACTTTCTTTTATGAAGGACTTTCAAAATTTTCACACAAAAATATACCCATTAAACTACATTACTCAACTGTTGCTTTAGACATAACAATAGTAATAACCATAACAATCGCAATAGTGATTATAATGATAACAATGATAATAAATCATAATAACAACAAACATAATAACAATAATAATATTAATACTAATAACAAATGAAAAATATAGCTTGGCTATAATTTTAGTAAACGCAATGAAGTGAAATTTGACTCTGAAGAATCGGATAATAACTTCTGATGAAAAGAAGAAGAATAAGCAGAACGTTTTACAGTTTTTGAGATATTCGCAAATGCACTTGTTGATTTTATCAGAAAGATTCGTCGAGCATCGATCGAAAATCTGAAACAATTTTTAAACAAAAGATAAGGCTATTTTTAGAAAACAGTACATCGACCACAAACTCAGACTCATACGTTCGACTGAGATACAGCACCTGCCTTCGACTAAAGTCCACACCTAATTCATATAAAAGCACTGAGGTTCCTCATCCAGAGGCATGCGTCCTGGCTGCTTGCATCACCATCGTTCATAAACGTTAACCAAATCAAACAACGAATAAAAGCAAATATGTGAACAGATAATCTGACTTACCGTGTTACTCCTTTATAAGCGCTATAAAACGAATACTTTTCACTGTCATCGAGCACAATATGAAAACATTTCGATAATAACTCCATATTATCACCATTATGAATAGTTTCGATATGATTATCATTGTTACCATTACCACTATCACTGTCATTGCTGTCGTTAACATCAGCTTCGTAGATTATTGAGAATGACTGGCTAAAACATTTATTAACACCATTCGGAAATTCTCGTAATGGCTCATTTTAAAGATAACGACAACAGCATCAACGTGAATAATGAACATATAACAACATTAAGAATAATTACAATAACAGCACTAGTAGTAATTATAATAACAACACTAATAATGAATGGAACAAAGACAAATAATAATGATAATGATAATGATAATAATAATAATAATAATAATAGTAATAATAACAATAATAATAATAATAATAAATACAATGGATGATCATGCAAAAACCATGAATGAACTAACTTTTTTGGCAAGCTTTCGATGAGTACTGAAAGAGGTGATTCTGGATCCATAACAGTCGTATTATCCCCAACCCCTTTGCCATCATCATAACTATTACTATCATTATGACGTGCATATCGCCATAATAAATCTGCTCTGCAAATCTTAACAATATCCTCAAGTGGCACGTATCGTGATGCACCAATCGACATCCTCAAATCTACATCATAAAATTCCGGCAACAAACGTTCAGTACTCAGTAACGTTTCATTTGATTTCCTGAAACGATCCATCATAATAATAAATAATATTAATGAAACTATTAAAAAAAGGTGAGTTCAGAGCAAAGTTCTGGCATCACTATTTTTTGGTTTGAGAATATATATTTATAGTTGATTAAATCTACACCTCTCTATTTGTTGTTTGCATTCAAAGATGTGTATTTTGATTGAAAATTTCTTAAAAGTGTTATTCAATAGTGTTATATTCTCGTTTGAGATCACCAACACCATACAGTTCTATTGTTGCTGGGATTGATCAAAAAATTCACTGATGCGCATCACTCACGTCGTGAACAGTCTCGCTGGTTGTTGATCAGTTGATTGCGCATCTTCAACACTATCCGTTACACTCTCATTACCGTTCATATTGTCACCGATAACATCAATTGTGTTGTGCACAAATGAATACAGCAACGGATTATTCAGCTCATTATCGGTGGCAATCCATTGCATTCGCGATACGTCCGGCATATAGCCATTGCACACACACTCACCACTCACTGCTGCTTTCCGGGAACAAGTCTAAATTTAATGAAATCACACTAGTGCACAAACAAATAAAACACATCTCCAGCATCATACCGATTCTTTTGCCAAGATGCACTTCTCGATTGCATTTCGTTTCAGCAAATACGCACCATGAAATTTCACATGTTCAACTCGATACACTGCTGATGGTATTGATGAACTCGTCACAAATCCTATAGCACGCTAATTTTCAATTGACAAATAATTATAGTAACATTAATATAAACACAACAATAACAAAATAAGCAACAAACCGTTATGATTGAACGTAAGAATGACATCGCTGAATGAATCACTCGAAAATGTCGGCAATAATTGATCAATAAAATACAAAAAATCAGGCGACAGCTTTGAATCTTCTTCAATTACTATGCAATATAATGATGACGGAATGAAATCTGATATTTGCGCAATTGATTTCGATAATAATTCTAAACATGAATGACAATCATAATAACAATAATAATAAACAAATTAATAAATTAAATGAAACTAACCATTATATGACGACGTGGTGTTGATAGCAGTTGAACGTACACCAAATAAATTGGCTAACTCATTCACTTCCGAATAATCACTATTGTACGTTACTAGAATATTGTCACGATTTACACCCTCTTGATTCATTAAACTTTCCAAACATATTCGTACATTATTCATATTCAAACCTTAAATTTCACATTCTTAATAATAATAAAAATGAATCGAACTACACAAATGAATATATGAATGAAGATAACCGGCAACGATAAGAATCGGTATTGAGAATATTTCGTGGCTGGCACGTTTTGGATCCGACAAAGTGCGTGCTGTTATCAGTTGGTCGATTCGATCGTCTGCAAACAAAACAATATTAAAAAACAATAACGACAACAATAATAACACTAAAGAAACCTGAACAAAAATCCTCATAACCATCGAAACGTGCACAAAAATGACGACGTGCACTGTTTTGACGTGGTTTCTGTGTTCTATCGGGCGATTGTCCACTAAGGGTTTGTCGACCGCTCACTAAAAAGAATCCTCAATCAATCGCCTTCGAAATGAACAAGTAAACAAATACACAAACACAAACTAAACAAATAAACAAACATAAAATAAACACGAAATAACGCGCAAAGAACGCAATCAAGTTCAATTATTAATTAAAACGCACAGTTCGATGGTACACAAACTTTCTTGTTAATTGCCTTCGCCCAATCGCTACCAGCCGGTGGCATTGTTAAGTCTTCGAATGCACTAAACCCATCGATACCTTTCTGACCCACAAAATACCACGATGCACGAAATTTCAATTTGTAAATCAAACTCGATCCTAGCTCATAGAAAATATCTTTGGCCAAATCAGATAGCCTGTAAAAATAAATGATGAATTATAAATGATAATAATAGTAGTTGCAACAACAATAAAAGAAGAATAAAGATAAAAATAACAATACCAATAATAAACACCTGCCTCATGGAAGCCTCATCGAAACTAACCAAAGCGACAATTTCGCCAGTTGACATCCGCTCGAGAAAGGCCACCAGCTCGGTACTATCTTAAAGGTTAATATCAACACACAATGCCAAACAAGTCACCAAATCCACCAAAAAGCACCTTGTTCATAAGTATCAAAATGTCCCGTTCGTACCACGCCATGTGTTTTCGCATCAATAATAACCAAATTCAAACCTCGACCAGCACCATTCAAATCTCTGTCGAATATACTGAAAAATGATAACAATTCAAAAGATTTACATTCTCAGCATTACTTAACAATATCCAACGACACACTGAAAATTCGTAAGAAAATTCAAGAAACAATCATCAATAACAAAGCACAACTGATAATAATAATAATAACAATAATAAGATATACTCACAAATGATCGTTGACACACAACGATGGTGAATCCAACTTATCAGTACCTGTGTAAAAAGACATCGGAATTTCACCTAAATGAAAGCAACATATCAAATACAGCAAAACGATTTTAATGTAATAATATACTCAAAATCCGATTGCCTATTTTTGAAAATTTAACAGTAATAATCGTAAGAATAATAATAAAATGACTCACTTTCATGACATCGATGAGAAATACCACAATTCGGCACTTTTCTACCCAGCTTTACCGACTCCACATCGCCACTACCCATCTCACCACTCGATATTTTCGGCAAATTCGATTCCGACGGATTCATTCCTGTCCGCAGTGCATTACCGCTTGATATCCGAGGCGCACCAACTGATTATTCATCATGACCATTATCATTATTATTGCTATTAGAACTATCATTATTACCACTAATATCACTACCGTTATCAATCGTATAACACAGTGTTTCTTACAGGAGTAATTTGGAAGTATCAGGGGGTATTTGCGATTGTAATTGAATTTGTTGATAAATTTCAATCTATTCATCGCTAACGAATGTTTTTTTTCAGTGCTTTTCGTTGTCAATTGTTGAAATTTATCTTCTTTCTGTAAATGATACTTGTTATAAGAATACCTACGGTGGTTATAAGAATACTTGTTTTATTCCAAGAAATTAATTTCATCGACGATTTTCTGATGTTATGCGTGGAAATTGTAAATTCTTTTAGTGGGGCAATGACGGCCTACCGTACCATCGAATGAGGTAATGCAGTTTCGAAGTGTAAGGAACACTGGTATGACACTATCATAACTAGCACTGCTATCACTATTAATCATTGTTAGTGTGATTCATTTAAAACGCTAATATCGTTACCAATATTTATTGCTGCTGTCGATTTGTTTTTATTAATTCGCGATGTTGCTGTTAATACCGCTAAAACAATTATTCTTCTTCAGTGCAAGGTTAAAAATTGCTTTGTTCAGCAACCATTTTGATCTTATTTAAATGATAAATTTAGAATGAAGTTTTCATTCAAGAAGTGAATAATTCAACAATAACAATCGAAATTAAAAAATCGAATAAAGTTACCATCTGAGGAGAGCACTGGATTTCCTTTATTCACATTATCATCATTGAGCGTATTCCTTTCAGCATCCACATGGAATTTTGATCGAACTGAAAATTAAATTATAAACACAACACAAACAAACAAACACACACGTAAATAAATAGATAATTTAATGGATCAGTACATAAACAAATAAATAAACGAATGAATTAATAAATAAATGATAAATAAATAAACAAGCAAATAGATGATCGAATTCAACTAACTTACCATTTTGAAATGGTCTTATTGCAAATTTATTCTCTTCTGCAACTCCAATAAACAAATGTTTACCAACGAAATAAACCGAAACCAACATCAATAAAATGACACCGAGTCGACGTAACGTACTCGCACGGGGCATTTTTATTCTCCTTATTCCTAATCTTATTAAAGTTCATTTGATATTCATTTATATTGCACATCTTTTATCACTATCATTATCATTACTGAAGTAAGAGTTCTTGTTTTATTCACATAATTATTTGTTAAATGATATCAATAAGTACCGTTTCTTGTGCTTCTTCTAGAAAAGATCTAATAATGGTTATAATTTTGTTGATGACTGCTGCTAGCACATTCACCCTTCTACAACTGTGAACGTCGGTTATTATTATCACGAACACCAACGATCATAAATTTAATACTATTAAAATGTTCATTAAAATCGCCTTATGGTTGCACAAACGATAGTTTTATTGCAGTATTAATATGGACACAAATTAATCCATAAATTAGATTTTATTTACGAAGTTAATTCGTAACAAAAAACGAATCACAGTAATAGAAACGATTCTAAATTAAAAGTATGCCAAAGCATATGTCACCAAACAAGTAATAATCGAAATCAGCGAAACGTTTATAAAATGTTTAATTGTAGATGAATAAAAGGTACCACTCATTCACTATGTTCACGATAAAATTCTTCGTCAATTTGAACATATATTTCATGTGAACAATAATATTAGTTTTTAAAAATTAATAATAACACTAATGATAATAATAAATAGTAATAATAATTACCATTACCATTACTATTACTACCTAATTATCATCGTTGTTATTATGACCACAGCTATGAGTATCGTTATCATTATTATCATCGTTACTGTTATTACTAACAATAATAATAATAAAATAATTACTGCTATTCTAGGGAAATAGAAATCAATGGCAGTCAGCAAAAACAATTGGGCAATGAATAATCAGTTTATACTGAAATAATAACAACGATATTCGTAATAATATTAGCAATAATAATAACAATAATACCAAACAAATATACATTACTCTTGCAAGTGAACACTCAAGGGAAATAGAAATAGTTGTGCATTGTTTTAAAGGAACCGTCGACTTGTTCTCAATAAACAATACTGGTAGAACAGAACGAACATTTAATGAAAACAAATTGAATAATGATGTCGAAACATTTCAAACAAACATCTCAAAAAGACACAAATCATCCATCCAAACAATTCCTTCCATTCATTCTTCCTGTACCACTCACTCACTCATATTATAATTAATGATAATGGTAAGCTCAGTATTTTTCTATCAATTATCATATAAACAATCTCATTATCATTACCAAAATAACAACAATAATAACAACCATATCATAACATTAATAATAATAATAATAATAATAATAATACTAATAAATAAACTATAAAAATCATTACTCATTTTCAGCAGTACCACTACTAGCAATATTTGCTGATGGTGAATTACTATTGATATTGCTCGTTGTCGCACTATCTTTGATATTAGCTGCAGTATTATTGGAAGATGCCCCGTCGGTACCCTCCTCTACAACCACATGTCTCGTTATACGATCCGCCTTTCGCCACAGACTCATTTCCTGAATTAAACAATTTACGTGATCAACATTTTAAAAAATAAATCGATCGAAACCAACTTGTTGTTTGAAATATCGTCGATCCTCTTCATCAACCAAAACCAAATTTAAATAATATCGAACTGAGAATTTTTTTGCCACATCGCGCATTGTTGGCGTCAAATCATAGCCAGCCAAGAAAAGCCGTATTGGGATCGATTCACCTGAATTTTAACAGTGACAATAATAACAATAATAATATTATCACTAACAAGAACAAACCTCTAACAGGTGCTCCGTCCATAATTTCATACTTCGCTATTGTTTCATTTTCGTTGAAAACGTTCGGTGCTGATCCAACCGTTTCACGTTTTATGATGGCTATCTCCATATATTTAATCTTTATTCTTACCAGCAAAAAGTAAATCTTCCCAACTATGACGTCTTTCAAATGATATCTGCAATAGGATAATAATAATAATAATAATAATAATAATAATAATAATAAATAATAATAATAATAAATAATAATAATAATAATAAATGACAACAATAACCATTATAATAACAGCAAAAATAAACAAACTTGGAACGATTGTACTCGAATTCGATATGTAAACAATCCTCAATACCCACATCCATCTTAATACTATTATTCGTATCTGGATAAGCTGATAAAGCATGAACAATTATATCCATCTCGCGCACAATATCCGTTAATCGTCTCACGATTATTACTCGCAAAAAATATCTTCAAATTACGTCAACAGCTAACGTTTTATTTATAAACAGCAACAATCATGATAACAAGCAATCATACACATAAACCACGAATAACAACAAATAATCTAACCTTAATTTCACGTTAGTACCAACATAAGATTCGTATGGCTTTTCGACTTGTTGGAAATCGAAATGAAAACTTTTACTTTCAGTTAGAATGCCCGGTAGAGCCAGTTCTTTCACTAATGATATAAAATCGTGTTGATTTCCACGGTCGTAATAAACTTCTGAACATTTACTATCATCATTATCATAATCAGTACTACTACTACTACTGTTATCCTTACCAATAGTATTATTATATAAATTAATATTATTTGCACTTACCAATTTGACCAATGAATTCAATACGTATTCCTTGATGATCCAGTTTCTTTTTAATCGTGATATTCACCGTACCCGACACCGATTCACCATCATAATACAAATAGTGTGTCTCTTGACCACCATCTTCTCCACGTATTTTCGCTGTCTGAACGCAATAATTCGTTGAACTAACATCAATAAAAATTTCTATCAATGCCATTAAAATCCTTATCAATCATTTTTTAAAAGAATCTCTTAAAAAAACGAAATTCACCTTTCTTGAATCTGCATCATCTAATTTTATTGAAATTTCTGCTGCTTGACCGAAACCAAAAAAAGCCTAAAACATACACATTTATACAAACAAACACTTACAACAACTGAGCTCATTGAATCGCTCAAATTATATTCAAACATACATATATGCAATTAACTGAGTGGTTATAAAGATAAGATTACATAATATATTCAAAACCGAGCATCTAGGAATGTTTAAATTTTGTTATGAGGAAACGTACGCTTTAATAAAAACTCAAACTGAAAGAGGAATATTCACCACAGCGATAAACAACTAATACTGATATGTTACGAAACGATACACGAAAACAATAAACTATCGGTAATAAATTTATAAACAAACCATGACAATGTTGTTGCGCTATAGATCGGACAACACCACTCCACACAGCAACAATTTCAACAATAATTATGACAGCGATGTAATAAAATAACTATTGCTTGACGTTAAGCAATCAGCAATAACAATAACGATAGTGACAATTAACAATATCACTAATAAAAGTAGCAGTAAGAGTACTGACAAAATAAGTAGAATATAAAATCAAAATATGCTCAACAAATGCTTTTGCACGTTTTTTTCTTTAATTGAGCGTAATTTGCAGTTGTTACTTTCGTCGGACGACACAATCAATGATTACTTCAAAATTTCCAACAACACCGTATCACGATTAAGATTATTGTTATTATTATTCTTACAATTACAACTCAAATACGTTCTTCTCCAAATATCCGTTTCATTTTGGTCAGACCACAACGGAAAACCTGGAATTGTAATGTGTACACTTTATCTCATCTTAATAAAGCTTTTTTTTCATTTCACTTCTGAAAGCGAGTCTTAACCATAACAATTTATACTATATAAAATACGGAATGCACAGGAAACAACCTCCCAATGACTAATGAAATACGCACGCAGGCATCTATATCGAAGCACTATCTAATCGACAATATCAAGTCCAAATAAATATACAACCGTCAGAACGATGAATCATTCGTATAATATTCATTGCCAACAATACTACTGGAAGCTTTTCGACTAGAAATTCATCTCAGAAAAATAATGAAGACAATTCATTTATCATCAAAATGGGAACAATATAGTTTTCAAAGGAAAAAAAAACTGCCTAAATTGATCCAATCACACAAAATTGCGACCATTTCATTAAGGTTTCAACCGAAAACGAAAATAATAAACGTACACTAGTGAAAAACAAATTTATGATGAGTCTGAAGGAATTGTAGTCGACCAATAGCATGAAAGAAACGCACAATTCGGGCATTTCAAACAATATGGAAGTATTGGAAATGGTGCATCGATTGAAAGTTGCAAACTCAGATTAAGTTTTTTAAAAACATCTAAAACGAATTTAAAACCTCTCCTCTCCCCACCTGAAATTGAACTCGAATAGATGTTTTCAACATATCATCCGTACGTTCGTTCATCACAGATTGAATAACTCATCACAAAAATTCTTCACACTCTTCGCAACACGAATTTGTCAACGTGTTGAAATTTCGTGTCACGATAAAATTTTTCGATTGTGACTGCAGAATAATATAAGTAGCATTGCAATGTCCATCTCAATACAAATAATATTTTATAATTTCGATATATGATTCGCCAGATGTAGATTACCTAGTTCTGTCGTTTTGCCTAGTCCTTGCACTGAACCGAGTCGAGAAAACAAAACCGAAGTCTGAGTTGAAATCTATGCCATATTTATCTTCTTGACAGCCATCTGCTAACTACGTTTTAACCCAAACATAATGAATGCACACAGGACCGGTTCAGTTGAAACTTCGATTTCTTCTATTGAAAGTAACGTTTATTGAAAATGTAACCGATATGGAATATATGCATGGACAAATGAAATAAACAGATGTTACGGTCAATGAGACGTGAAGATTTTAAAGGAGTTTAAAATGCACGATAAAATTTCGAGGATAGATAATAATAATAACATTTGAAAAGTGCACACTAAATAAACCTTTTTTGAAAATGCTACATACTTTTCACGCTCAAATCTTTTCGCCTTCAAATTCAAACAGTTTTCGTTTAACAATATTTATTCATGGAATTCTGGCACTTAATAATAGTGTCGATAGCAATAATGTAATTTTAAAAAATAATAATAATGTAGCAATCATAACAATGAAAACGAACATAACAATAATAATCGTACTACACATAATATCACAATTTCGCCTAGATGATAATTTGATAATTCATGTAAGCGGCAGCATTACGGATCCATTCAGGAATATCGCCGTCTGGATACTGCTCATGCAAAAATTCGTTTAGGAATTCTTGAACACGATCATTTGAAATTGCCTCTCGAATTCGCTTCATCAGATCGAGCTGATGTTTTATATTATGCAACGATATTAAATGACAACCGATTTCTTCCTGTAATTTTAATCTCTAATACCATTGACGATCATTAATAACAAAATATGATATGCGTATAACTTATTCCGAATTACCTCATATGTTGCTCGTTCACCTTATCGCTTATGCATACTGCTATTTAAAAACAAGAAAATCAACAATACAAAATTGAAATCACCTGATTAATAACAGAATGCAAATAAGCTCTTGTATAATTTTTGCATGTAAAACATGCACATTGTGGATCGATTGGTTTGAAATCAGTTTCGAATTCATTTCGCGTTAAGTGTAACAATTGTCCATTTCTAACCAAAGCACTACCGAATCGCGCTGTTCTTGTTGGATAAACACAATCGAACATATCTGCACCTAACAACGCACATATCACCAAATCCACCGCCCAACCAACACCCATCACATAGCGTGGTATTTGTTGCGGTAATCGCTCACAACAATGCGCTACCACCTTCCAAAACGATCGCTTTTCTTCTCCTACATCATAAACGCAGCATTACTTTCAAAAGGTGTTCATTGAATATGATATGCAAATGAACAAACCACCACTCAAACCACCAATCGCGATGCCAATCGTGCAACGCTTCGACATCTCTTCAGCGCAATCGGAACGTAACTTCAAATTGAGACCACCTTGAACGATCGGGAATAGAAGTTGATCCGAACGACGCTTATGTGCTGCCAAACAACGATCCAACCATCTGAACAACCATATTGAATCGTACGTCGACTGATCCAATTTCATAGTAATAACAACGATAACCTAATCGATCGTTGCATTGCTTCTTCAACAACTGGACCGTCTGTGAGCACATGAACAACGTGATCTAACTGCATTATTATGTCAGCTCCAAGATTCTCCTATCAACATTATCACTGTAATAACCTTATCACAAAGATAAAATTCAAAAAGTAAATCATCAACCTGAATCTCAATGCAATGTTCAGGAGTTAAATGAGTTAACTGATTCGTATGTGGACTAACGAACTGCACACCGGTTTCATCAATGGACATCAGTTTATTCAATGATACCATCTAAATTTTATGCGTTCATCACAATTGTTACTATGATGCATCAAATAATTATCGTGAAACAACCAACCTGAAAACCACCCGAGTCAGTGAGAATTGATCGTGGCCAATTGATCATTTTATGCAGTCCGCCAGCCTTACGGACTAGCTCATGCCCAGGCCGATGTCCCAAATGATACGTATTACATAACAAAATACGGCAGTCCATATCAATTAATTGCTCTGGCAATATTCCTTTCATTGTACCTTGTGTACCGACCGGCATGAATACTGGTGTTTCAACAACGCTGTGAGGCAACCTTCATTTTCGTAGTTTTTATTATTGTAACAAAGCAAGTGAAATTCATTCAATTGTTCACACTTCCTGAACAATTGTTAATAATAATAATGACGAACAGATGAAATATCACATACTTCAATTCACCTCGACGAGCGCGGTTGGCTTGGGCAATAATTCGGAAATTCATTGCAACTTCTCCTTTCAAGCCATCATCAATTTGTGGTGTCCTAATATTATCATTATTAATGCTACCTTCTTGAATGCTATAATAATACGCTTTTCTTATCAAAATGACGTGACATTCTTCTTCGCAAAACTTCTGCTCGTAAACATGCCAAGCACTCATTCCAACTCGCAGTGTTCACCTCAATAATCTCAAAGATCACTATTCCAAGCCATTCTAGGACCAATCATTGAGCAATCACACCAACTTCTCATCACCATCAAACTTTTGCCGCTAAACAATTTTCAGCGCAGTAGATAAATTCGTTGGGTGGTCCATTGCAGACAGATAAATGCTAATACGACTACAGAAATAACCCAAACCAGAAAAAAAAACAAATGTCAAACTTACATGAAAAATAACTTGTTTCTTCAGCGAATGTATGATAGTACGTTAGAATCTTCAACTAAAATTCATATCATATCAACCACAACTTGAGAAAATTCACAAAAACTGACCCAAATAATCAATCATTCTCAAAAAAATTCAGCCGTCCACTTAACCCGCCCGTTTACATGTAAATGAAATAATGATAATAAACATATTCAATTGAATAAATTCAATGAGTGAATTATGTACAACATGAAACAGCAACAATAAAAGCAACAACACCATTACATGAATTCTTTTATTTTATTTGTATCATCGAAATTGTAACAGCATTCAAACCAACAAAATAAATTAAAACAACGATAATAGTGAAAATAATCAGTCATAGAACAACTAATTCAAATGAATGAAACAAAATATACAGCACACAAATATTGACGAATGCAAAAAAATATTCAGTGACAAATTAAGCAACTTCCATGATAACAAATATTACCAACGATAAAACCAATCAAAACTATTAATCAGTAAAGACTGAAAACTGAAGAGAAGATACATATGCAAACCGAGCAATAAAATTAAAGAAATTCATACAAATTAATTACGTCTGAAAAATCGAAATTATTGTACATATGATGAGTTAGTTGAGTGGTCATTAAAACAACGAATAGCATTTAAAAATAATACACGATGGCAGCTTTCTCCGAAACGAATTAATTAAAATTCTTCACCCAATAATATAATAATAATGATAATAACAGCAATTAATAACAACAATAATAACAGTAATTATAATAACAAAAATAATAACAATAATGGCAATAAAAATAATAACAAACAAATAAATAATACATTCCAAATTATTCATTTAAAAAACTTTCCACAATCACAGCAATGCAGCAGTTGTTGCTACAAACTGATTTTTTTCCTTGCTAGTATCGATAATAATCGCATTATTATTATTACTGGCAGTATTATCGACATTTTCACTACTGTTAATATTTACTAAACGATTATCTTTTTCATTTAACAATCCACTATTATCATCACCAATATTATTATTATAATTATGATGATCATTAGTATTATTCACATTGGTTGCTTGCTGAGCTGTTTCTACAGTCCGATCCATGTAAGCCGGTCGAAAAACAGTTCGAATTTGTTCACTGATTCGTTGAGGAGAACATTTCAAATTAGCATTATTATCAGTATTAGTGTTATTACTATCATTACCATTATTGTTAGCAACAGTTGAACTATTATTTACATTGTTATGACTACGTGAACCACGATCAAATTTTCCACCTTCACCACGTACCCTTGTTAATGCGTGTTTATGTCTTGATTCGTGCAAATACTTCTGCAATTTCAATCGTTATTTATATCAAACAACTATTTTTGGTAAATCATCAAGACAAGAAACTGAAAATCCGACCCTTCTTTCCTTTGGTATACGACCTTCACTTTCCATTTTGGCTCGAGCCGCTCGTCGTTTCATAATCCTTTAAAGAATCAATCCTTTTGTGCACATCTTTCATAAATCTTCATTTTTTACTTTCTCATTATTGGAGGTACGGATTCAAATGAATACGCTGAAACGTACCTCTGATACTGCTTTGCATTCACATACAATGGTTCCTCATCGGGACGTGGAGCTAATGAAGGCGTTTGACTACTCACTTGAAGCATAAATGGCTGTGCGTTACTTGACGTTGGATGCTTCAATTCACAATCACAATCAACTATTATACACGTAACAACAATAGCAATCATTTATACACAAATGATTATTATTATCAGATTCAATCATCGTAAACCTCAAATGAATCTAATCAAAAATTACCAACCTCTTGAACAACGTTAGATATCTCAATTTCTTTCGTATCTGAAATTAATTCGAAAAAGTTTATAAAGGTTAATAAAAACAACGACAAAACACTGATGTCATTAAACAACGATAAAAATAAAAACGACTAATAATTACTTGAATAAATAAATTGCGGGAACGTTGACTGTGCAGATGGATTTCGCTGTTCAGACGACAGTTCCATATTAGAAGTAGTTTGCTGAAGTGGAATAAAGGCTGCATCGTTTAAATTAATCACCTGTATTCCACCTCCTTGACCCGATGTTTGACCATTTTGCACCATCTTTGCAAAAATATTACCACATTATTTACCATTATCTATCTTCATAAATAGTTTAGAAATATTTCTGAATTAAAAATGGAACCTGTATGGCTGCGCCATTCAACTGTATCGGCTGTTGTGAACCCGGCAAAAGGATATACGACTTACTGAGGTCAGTCTGCGTTAAATCTGCGCCATTATCGTTTGCAACACTAACGAATTGCACTGGACATGACTGGTACTAAAATTTTGAATTGGAACTGCGATAACGAAGAAGACCTCAAACGTTCAAAATAAACATCAACATTACAAACACTCAAGCCAAATAATTACAATGACAAGAGTAATAACAATAATAATAATAATAATATTAATAACGGTAATACATGTTGACTGGTGGGAGTTGATTGGTTGTTTTGTGCTGCGAGAACATATTGCTGCTGTTGAGGATTATGGTGAGGTTGCGTTTGGGCGTTCGAATGCCTCTCCTCATTCCTTAAAAAATTACAGTTCATAAAATTTAAAAAATAAAGGACTTTTTTTGTCAAAACATTCTGAGTTTAAGCTAGAAACACATAAGTACAAATATTAAATATTGGATAATGAATAAAATATGACTATGTGGGTGAACCAATAAATGGATAAATTGATCAATTGACGTATCAATTAATTAATTTAACATAAACAAATATATAAATGCATAAATAAATAAATACATGTATATAAGCTGAAAATTTTTGAACCCCGCCTCCATAATAAATAAATTCAATTCACTTACATCTTATTGGTGGAAGTAAAAACGCTTAAAGCCAGCTCGTGATTGGTTCATCGCGAATTTGGAATCCAATCAAAATCGATATCACGCAGCGACCGTCAATGGTCAATGTGCCAAAAGGCGGAGCATATCTCGATTCATCGTCGTTGAGTAATACTCCCATCAAATATTCTCAAGAAATACGTGCGTTTCTGATGACGTTATAGAGAACTCTATCAATTTATCATACGCTTTGATAAATCTACTGAACTGTAGTCCAAAAATAACGCCTAGTTATTAAGATATAGCTGAATTCTAAATGCCGATTAATCGACATCCGATATATCTGATTGTATGGGAATGTCACATTTTCAAGTCACTCGTCTGCTCAGGTTTGCTCAGCAGCATAATGGTTTCACAATGTTTATCAAATTCCCTTATCTTATGTTAGAGGGATGAACTGTAGGCGTAGGTCGGTCATCAACCACTGATGTAGATCAATCATCTTCTGAACTTTTTCATTTTCTAAAAGCAAAAGTTGTTCTATGAATCTGAAATGTGTTATTATCAATGGCGCTACACCAATGGAGAATTCCAAAGTTCTTCGAAATATCACTGAAAATGCAATCTGATAAACTTGAGAAATTCGAACCTCATTACGAGTATATGCCTTTATTATGGCGAACATCTCTCGAATCTAATAGCCAAACCTTGAACAACTCCGCTGGAAACATGAACAGCCGTGCACCCATGATAACCAGAAATCTACATGATTTGCTCATCAAAACAAGATACCAAAAAGCAAGACGTCAATTACCATATTTGAACGCGAGAACTATTCTGAACTAATTTCGGACAAAAAATGAGGAATTACTATGCAATTGTGTTCCTCAGCATGCTCTCATTGAAATTCTTTCTAATAACATGGATATTAATAATGAGAATAAAGCATTTGCGATTACAGTTTGCAAGGCAATTCTGAAATGTGATCAGTGAACACATTGTTTCTAATTGGTTTGCGTTTTTTTCTGCGATTTGTTTACCATTCGTATCTTCTCGCAAGTACAAAACTGCTTATCGATTTGAATAAATTCATTCATCTATTCGTAGTCAAACAAATTGACTACACCTTCAGCGTAAGCATCTGAGAAGAGAGATAAACAACATGGATTGTTGCGAATAATCGTATTCACGACCCTCTTACGGGTCTTTCTTTATTGTGATGTTTGCATCTATCCATACATTTAATTTTAGTCGCGATTACTTTATAGTTGTTGTTACGAATACATTATATCAAGCTTCTCATCTTATATTAACCACAACCATTGGTGATAAGAACATCATGGTCATTACTGTGTGCAAATCGTACCGTCGATGTCCTGCTTTTTCAAAAGAAGGATAAAATATCAAAAAACTATCCGAAAAATCCAACATAGAGATGTTTTCTTTTGGAAACATTCAGTATCGATCAAGCAAACACTCAGCCTTCTTCACTGATACGATAGTCATCATTATCTAATTGTAAGCAATTTTGAGGGCACAACACTTCAGATTTTATCAAACATTACTCGTTCAATTCATCAGACTGTTGTCGAGAGTGTATTAACAATCAGTTGATCAACCATAACATCATCGATAATACACATGGAGAGTGGCAATTGTTTTTCAAATACTGCAACAGGGGTGTGGCCTCTTAGTCAACCAGAACACAGTAGAAAAGCGTCAGAAATGAATAGATTGTGTTAAAATCTGAATGTAGAGCAAATAACCAAAAATAAATCAAAGAAATTAAGACCTTCTTGAGGTATTGAAAGCGTGAATGAAAAAATAACGACCAAATACAGAATGTAAAGGTAATGTTATGATATGGTGAATGTTAAACAAAATAAATTCATATAACAGATGTTATTCCAAAAAAATTCAAATATATTATGCAAAATGATAATGTTTCAAGCTTCGAAAATTCAATTTTGCGTGTTCTGTCATTTGTACACTCAAGACATGTCATTGCTGTGCGATTGCATCATCAAATTCATGTAAGAGATTTACTCTGAAATTGATTATTTTTTCACTTTATTGGTGGTTTATGAGATACTGTAAACTGATCATCGCTAAGGCTCAATAACGGCAATAATGGCAAAGAACGAACTGAAGATGTCCTGAAATAATTGTCGTACCCGTAAGTACAGCCTCCAGGATTGCTCACCTTATTATATAAGCTCTCTCATATCAGTCATGATGAGCTTGAATCATTCTCTGAGTATTCCACCTTATTATATTCTCATTAAACATACTACAGTATTATCGCTCAATACGTTATTAATAACCCTGTCAAACTTATCGCTCATCATATAGTCCACTAATATTCATTACTGACTGTTCATTTTTTAAAGGCTGTCCCAGGCATGATTTTGATCAGTTCATTCTCTCTGATCTGATATCAGTTATTATGATATGTACTAATAGCATGATATGAATAAACTTTTACTTTTTAGCTTAGGCTTTTAATCGAGACTGCTTATCAGATGTAGAAGCAGTACGATAGAGAATGAAATGATCAGAGAAATGGAGAGAGTCAGAGTGTATTGTTCTATTGTAAGCATGATCATACTGCTTCATTGTAGGCGAGCATGTACAATTCTGGACTTCGATCAGCGCATTTGACTGTTACCTCAACCGTTCTAACCAGAGTGATCAGGATGAAGTGTTTGTTATTCACTTCAGAGAGTAAATCATCTACTATCCAAATTTAAATCAACCTCATCCCATATTGTTAGATTGTTCAATCTTAACTCAGTCAAATCTTCAGTTTAACTTCATATGGAACCTAACTGTTCCTGTTTGGATATTTTGTCTTTTCGCTTAGTGATATTAATAAATTAATGTTACAGTAATGATGATAATACCTCACTTGAGGTCTGATAAGATTATTAAAATCAACGGTGATGATTGCCAGTTGATGTTGCTGCAATTTCATCTCCGTTTACTGGTGAATTGATTCTGCTCTTGTCACCCTACTCAAAAAATGTCACAGGGCTTTTATACCATAGTGGCCTTTTACAGGCAGCAATGTCATTACGGTTAATGAATAATTCTGTTCAGATGTGTCTTTCACGATTCTTATTGCACATACGCCGACATGTTATCAGGTTGATTAAAAAGTTTTGAGACTTGCATACTTGTAAATTTTTGATTACTTTAATGTTAAGTCCAAATATTACCATGGTGTATATCCAGTAAACACTGCTGACTTTGATGAATTTTACATAGTCAGGGTTTTTCGAGACCGAAGGAGGATTACTGCAGAATGGATAAGACCAAGTGCTCACTGATAATTAATTCTTCGATATTGGAGATGTTCGAAGTGATTGAAATTTACCAGTGACTAGCAGAGGTAGGCTAGAGCTCTGCCCAAACAAATGCTCTAGCTTGCCTTCGAATAGCTGAGTTCAAATGCGAGAGAAGTTTATCAAATGATGTTCACGATGTCGACAGTTGAAAATGTCAGTCAATGAGAGAAATGTGTCTAAACCGGGGATGGGCAAGCTATCGAAAAACGATAGCTTGCTATTCGCTGATTCGCTAAGCTAAACACTGTAAGTTCCACTGAAAAAATCTGCTATCGTTATCGTCGCTAAAAAATCTGCTATCGGTAATTAAGCAAAATTGGTCCGCTATTCGCTATCGCTTCTTTGGAATTTTTTCTCAAAATTTGCAACGGCACCACTTATTTGTATGGGAAAAACCTCATTGCGAACAGTTGAAAATTCTTATTGAATCATTTAACAACAGACAATCATTCCAGTACCAAGCACCAGACAATAGTAAAGCAAGCTCCGACAATGAGAAAATAACCAAACGACGACAACAAAATTCAAAGACGAAAAGCAGTCAGTTGGCAACAGCTCACATTGCACTTTCTCATTCCTTTTTAGGAACATCAACACGTTGAAAATTTCGTTCAAAAATCTGGATCATCTGGATCTTATCGTATCGCCTAACTCAGTCCCTGAGACGAAAAACAACGACCATCATACTCATAAATAGAAAAGATTGTGAAATGATTCCACGAAACTACCATCCCATCTTATTAACATGCTCACGTTTTGAAGTTTCGGAGAAAATAACTGCATCCAAACTGACAAACCATTTTGCAATGAATGAGCTGTTTTCCCGTTTTAAATGTGCTTTTTCAGATAGGATATCAATCACTGCGATTTCATTTTGATCCTAGCAAAATTGTGTCGCTCATTTAGACTACACAGGCTGCACCGACACTACGATTCTGAAAAAGCGTTTGATTCGGTAACCATACCTAAATTCAACATACGTTTAAAATTACAAGCATGCGGCATACGATGTTGTTTGGCCAGTTGAATCCCAGACTTTCTTACGAACCGTTCCCAATCAGTCGAAATTACTGATTCGTCCAGTTCATCGGAATACATCAGCAGTGGTGTTCCTCAACATTCTTTTGACTTTCCTATTCCTACTAAAAAGTGCCTTTTTCCAAACTCAATATACCTGATATTTGCGGATGATGTTAACGTCTTCACGTTCTCCAACAATTTACAAACTAAATTTGATTTCATTGACCAAATGCTATCAAATAGGCTTTTACTGCTAGCTGCAGTACAAACGAGGTTGACCAGGATTGCAAAGGGCAATTCTACTAACTCCCTGAACATCCCCAATCAAGAGTTAGCTCCCTCTTCATTCATCCAAAACCAAAGCGTCATAAACGACCGAAGTTTGAAATGT